AATATTTTGAAAACATTAACAATAAAACCAGAAAAACACAGCACAAGAACAAAGATGGAATTTCTTGATAAAAATATATAATGTCGAGCGTGGTTAATGAGATATTGGAAAAAACCTAAAAAAAAAACCGAAGACTAAATTTGATGACGACATATATTTATTTCTAAGATTCAAAGTTCTCTTACCAACTGCTAGAAATATTGCAAATGCAATACCAACACGAAAATTGCGATCATACTCCGTAGTTGGACAAGCAGAAGTAATATCGAGAGTTCCATTTGCTAAACAGAGCATGAGCACTTGTACTTGTACTTTTAACTACATATAAAGTATTTCAAATATTTTTATTTCTTTCTACAACTAGTTTTACTATTTCCATACATAGTTCAACGATGATGTGCCAATGGCAGAGCTTTGGCAGAAGTTTTCTATTTTACTAAAACCTTAAGAAATAATTCAAATAGTCTCTACCGAATTCTCTTCTACTGCTGATTCATGTCACTATATCTCACTAGGGAAGGTCCCCAAGTGAGACCCTCAGCTTCGAATGGGATATATTCTGATTTGTACAGCTCGACGATTTGACTACGATGGCATAAAGCATTTTTCCTCATGACTCTAGAAGATCCGATTTTCTGGAAAACCAGTTTTTCAGAAACTCTAAAAAATAACCCAAACTTTTCTTAACGAGGAATAATTGTAGCGCACACATTTCTGATTAAAATAAGATATTTCCCAATTCTGCACGACCTTTCTTTGTAGAGTTATAGAATTTACAATAAAAACCCTGAATTAATCTCTTATTTCTGTAGCTTTGAACTCATAATGAACATTTAGGGCTCTTCTTGTAAATTCTATGACTTTGCAAAGAAAAGATCGTGTAGAGCTGGAAGATGTCTCATTTTAATCAGAAATGTGCGCGCTACAATTATGCCTCGTTAAGAAAGCTTTTGTTTATTTTTTAGAATTTCTAAAAAACGGCTTTTCCATAAAAACGAGTCGTCAAGAGCCATAGGGAAAAATGCTTTATGCCATCGTAATCAGCTCGTCGAGCTCTACAAATCAGAATATGTCCCATTCGAAGCTGAGGGTCAAACTTGGGGACCTTTCTTCGTCAGTGGAAAAAGATAAAAAGTAATGAACGAGTATAGTAACAGGCAAAAAAGTACTTGAGATACTTTAAATCTACTGAAAGTACAAGTACAAGTATTTTTGCGAAAGTGCAAAAGTACAATTACGAGTAAGATTTTTAAGTACAAGTAATTCTACGTTTACTTGTTTATGATCTACTTCTAAACGAGATTGTTTACATTTGAAAATGCTAAAAATAACAGAAATTACTTACAATTATCCAAAGAACTATTATTGGATTCTGGCTTTGGAACTAATTGAAAATATCATTTTTTTTTTGATAGTTAGATTCAAGAACAATTGGACTTACTAACGGTGTAGCGTTCAAGTTTAATCACCTAGTAAATACAAATCTGATAAAAAAATGACTATCCGAATACTATAAAAACCTACGTTTAGTAGAAAAAGAACAAATACTAATTGGAAGGTAACACTAATTTTTCTATATGATTGAATTTCATTGAATTCATTAGCAACAAAATAAGATCGCCATACTGAAATAGAATTCTGTATACTTCCTAAAATAAATGAAAGATACGATATACAATGATAAAAAAGCTTTTTATGATAGCAGATCTTACCAACTTTTGGTTTTTCCCAATCAACGAAAAAAATATCGTTTTGTGTCTGATGAATAATTATATGTAGAATATCAATTGTTTTGAGAATAAAACTAACAACAATGAATAGTAAAAATATGCTGGATTTACTATTTAGCTTCTAAATAAAAAAATTTTATAATATGGAGAGAAAATAAACAAGATATGTTAAGTTATACATCGGATACGATTCGCAACCATAATGACACACTGGCTGTAACAATGAAAAGTACTGATCCAAGTATTCCACATAAAAATAGAATAAACTTTAATATTGTCTAAATAAAGATAAAGACAATGTGTACAGATGTAATATACCATTTCAACTCTTTTAACTTACTATTATATCAATTATGTCTTTTCCTGACCGACTTTGCCATGCCCATGTCCGAACCAATGCCAATACAAAACCAACACCGGCTAAAACACCAACAGCAATTAACATATCACGTTCATATGAGCTAGTATCGGTGCTCATGTTTGATATTTGACGCGAGATCTAAAATAATTAAGCAAATATTTCAACTCATGTAATTCTCCAGTAATGAATGCATAGTAGAGAATGATAGCAACGAATGAACTTGTATTGACAAAGGAATATCCCGATGGAAAAGTGGCACAGAATTGGTAAAAATAATGTCGGAATTCACAACAATTGTGGACGACATGTCTAAATTTCGAGGCTTCCGAATTGAGACCACTTTTTTAATAAAATATCTTAATTGACATCAAAGAAACATCAGAGGGCGGGAAGCAGAGAGTCAGAGTGAGCGCAAAAAGGTGGTCTCAATTCAGAAAGAGCCCTAAATTTATCTTTGCTAAATATACTGGATTAACTTGTAATAAAACCCAGAAAATGAGTATATTTTTAGAAACTGGGGTGTTTTCCTCTTTCACTGATCTAAATGACTTCCTTGTCGATGTTCTTTGCAAAATTTCTTATTTTAATTTCTTGTTAACCTTTCACTCGTTAAAGATTTTTGGCTCAGTTGGGAAGATTCGTTGTTAATAAAACTCACATTAGTTTTGTCAATTCTCTCACTATATATAACTCACATGTACTCGTTCATGAAAATTCTTTGAAATATCACAAGATTCTTGACAAGTGTTTACATGTGCTGTACTAGCATCGAAAAGTCTAGCCCTTCTTATATTTATACATGAAAAAGTAAAGAAAACTAAAAATGGATTTTATACACATTTTTTCGTTTGCAAGACATTTTTTGTATTTTTATAAGAAATACAAGACAAAGACTCTTGACTAGAACTACAAGGCAAAAATTTTCATCAAGAATTATGTGATTTTGATAATTTAACTAGAATTTTAAAAAGCTCAAAGTTTTTCAAAGAAAACATCTAAACTGAGAAGCAGTGTTTTCCTGAAATAAATTCAATACTCTTTTCTAATTAGTTCAATATGTTTCTTTTTTTAAAGTAGAATAGTCATCAAAAACTATATTCGCATTAAGAGTAATTGCCCTTTTCTTCGAGAAAAAATTAGTCTTCTATTACAGCTGAGTATACATTTGATTGATCTCTGTTTCATGAAAACCAAGCTTTGTGTCGAGGCGTCTCTTTTCTGCAGGGTTCATGGGTTAACTTGCATTCTGCGGAAACTTTGGACGTCCTAGAAAATCATCAAAAATTTCTTCTCTAAATTGGTAACCGATAGACAAGAGGACGCGATGAGCGCTAATTTTTCAAAAAATATCTAATTTGCGACTACGATACGACTATCTTTTCTGATAAAGAAAGTCATTTTTTTTATCAGATTTGTATTTACTAGGTGATTAAACTTGAACGCTACACCGTTAGTAAGTCCAATTGTTCTTGAATCTAACTATCAAAAAAAAAATGATATTTTCAATTAGTTCCAAA